ATTGTGATAAAGATTGTAAAGACAAGATAGCCCAAGGCCATAGACATTCTTTCCCATGAAGAACCTTCTAAAAAGATCATAAACAGTCACTCATTCACAATCAGGGCCCAGTTCTATCAATTATCATGACCAACTGTAGTTAGGCCATGCAAGCTGGAGGATTGTGGGATTTAAAGTCTAAAAAATAACATCTCCAAGCTCTGTGTAATCCTGAGATCTGCAGGATAATGACACTCATCAAACTGATGAGTGGGGGCCATTGTAGAAAACAGACTAGACAGTAATTTTTGTGCATTACGTGTGGTACATAATCAAGGCTGAAAATATCTGTTCTATATAGACTTTTTGATGCTTCTAATGTGCTTACAGAAATCTTCATTGGATTGAGCTGCTCTAATTAACCAAATAAATGGAGAGTAGAGGCTATATTTGTTTGGGAAAATAAATTCTTTTGAGGAAATTTAATTAAACAAAACTTGAAAGAATTGATTGGAAGAGAAAAACTTTGATGATTTTAGTAAATGTGCATACCACAAACCTCTAAAGATGTTTTGTTTTGCATAACGAGTTTCTTCAAAAGGTGATGCTGTGCATATATTGATGGATCATGAGGGACTTTAGGAGAACTGTTGGCTGTGATAACAATGATGTACATTTGTCAAAATCCTTATATGGTCTTAAAAGTGTCCTAGTCTATAAAACATATCAGGGTGAAAAATGCTCAAGGCAACAAGTTCTTCATAGCAGAAAAACAAGGCTTTCAGAAAACCGTGGAGTGGATTTCTAAAGGAGAGATTGTAACCTTGTGCAACATGTTCACAGTCCCCACCTCCATTGCCTGTGCACATTGGTATTTAATACACAATAAAACATTAAAAATCTGTGAGTGGGCTTGTAAGTGCACATGGCTGAACAGATGTAGAAACCACTCTATAACGAAACCCTGTCCCATCAACAGAAGTAAATGCTACATTTTTGTATACATCTCCCAGAGTCCTCCTGCTAGCTTGACAATGACCACGAATCTCTGAAATACTTTTGATAAATTCCCTTTCTAATGATGCCAGAGTCCAGTGTTGTGATGCAATGCAATAAGTACTTCTGTTTTATTATTGTTGTGTGCTTTCAAGGTATTTCCAATGTATGGCAACTGTAAGGTGAACCTATTGTGGGGTTTTCTTGGCAGGATTGGTTCAGAGGGGGTTTGCCATTGCCTTCCTCTGATGTTGAGAGTGTGACCAAGATCACGCAGTAAGTTTCTACAGCTGACCAGGGATTGGAACCCTGGTCACTACACTTGTGTTGTATATCCTTTGTCAATTTCAGGGGTTCTTGCATGGATTTCTGCCATGAGATTCATGTAAACAAATGGAGGTTGCACCATAGAGATTCTTAATTGGATGGTACCAGAACTTTTTATCCAGATAGCCTATTTCATACCTGCACATATGAAGTGTGACTTCTCACCTCTTGCTCTAATTCCTTGATACTTGAGGATTTGCCTTTGAATCTGAGAGCTCGTTCCACTGAAAAGCATTATGTCTAAGATGATGCTGGGATCTGGTCATATAAAAGCTCTGTCTATGCTGTTATGTGCATATGGAAATCAAGTGGTAAAAATGAATTGGTAAATCAGCATTATGTCTGGCTAGATTGTTTAATTGCTGTTTAATTGTTTAATTGCTTATTGTTATTTAATCCAGTTAGTTTGTTTTGTTTTTAGGGGTTGGGTGGGTGTGGGAAGGAGGGAGGGGATTTGAAGTGATTTTATTTGTCCTTATGTTTTGATATGCTGTGCGCCGCCCCGATTGCTTGGCAGAGGGGCGGGATATAAATAAAAATTATTATTATTATTATTATTAGATGTGTCATCAATCATCTGCCATATTATTCAGCTAGATATGTTCTGACTGTTAAAAAAAAAGTAATGAATTGTTGCTGGGTTGTTGTTTTCATGTTTGAGTTTACTGAAACTCTCCACCCTTCCCCTGTTTCACTATTCTGTGGGGTTATCCACCATCTGCTAAATCAATAATGTGTAAATGAGTGCATGCTTTGAGCGCATTAAAACTTCCTACACATCAAAACCAAAACAGCTTCCCTTTGAAATCTTCCCAAAACATTGTTTAGAGGTGTAAAAATGTTTTCCAGTTTCTATAGCATCACCATTTGATTTAGCTTGAGACACCCCCCACCACCACCACACACATTTGATTATTTCTGCACTTAAGCTAGTGCCACAGATGTAAAGGCACAAAAGGTTTCTCTCAGGTTGTGTCTGCTGGTCTCATTGACCTTGTGTCTTGGGCCAGTTCAGATATATTGGTTCCAGCCTCAATTCTTCTTTAGGTCTTAAAAGATTAGACCAGGTAGGGCCAAATAAATCCCCTAAAAGATGAATGTAAAAAAAAATTCAGTAGGATTAGTGGCTTCAGCCCATCTGCTTTGTGTTTCTCATTTTGAACAGAAATTAATTAAAATTATGCTTGTGTGACCTTTCTTTTCTCTCTCTCACTGTATAAAAGTGTCTTATGTCAGGGATAAAGCATGAAGCTCAATCACTCTGAGACTTTGTACTTTTTTGTTTTTGGTGGCTGTGTTCATGTGTTCTCTCTGGCAAAGCAGCTGGTTGCTTGCCTGAGCCCTTCTGGGCATACTGAGGTGCTTATAGTAGTGAGAGCCAGAATTTAGCAGTAGAACATGTGGATGCTAAAATCTGCAGCAGGTTTCATCACTACCGTCTTCAGTTGACACATGCTCAGGTTTCTGGTGATGACCTTGGCGTGCCATCACCAGTGAAATTATAGCAATGATTTCAACCTTTGGGTCTCCAAATACAGTCCTCCTGATTCATGGTCTTGCCTTCCCCAGTCTTGATTCTTTGTGGATGGCAAGCTGGGAGGGACATAATGGTGTGTGTGTGTGAGGTGCATGTGCAGCACTGCACACAAGAGCGGGCCCCCATTGTAATCAATTGGGCTCCAATATTGTTGATATTCCTGATTGGTGGGGTGGGGTGGGGTCTGGAACGGATCCCCCATGAATCAGAAAGGACGGCTTGTTATCTGTTTATTTATCTATTAGACCCCTATATTTCTCCTAGAGTAACTAGACAGTTTACAGAAAGAGATACAGGTGTGTATGTGTGTGTATATATGTACACATAGAGTCAGCCCTTTGTATCCACAAATTTTTCATGCATAGATCCAACCAGCTGGGTTGAAAATATTTTTTAAAAGTCCCCAAAAGCATACCTTGATGTTGTCATTTTATATAAGGGACACCATTTTACTGTGCCATTGTATTTAATGGGATTCAGATAAAGGTATTCAGCCCAATCTGTTGGGGAGCACTGGTGCCTCACCAAACTAAAACCCCAAGATTCTGTCAGCTAGAATCATGACATTTAAAATGGTGCTTAAACGTCTTTAATTCTGCTGTATGGTTACACCCACAATCTATTTCCTCCATGCATCTGAAACAAATGGGCCAAAAAGAGTGGCTTCTGGCCGCTTCAGGGATGTGGTGTGCAAACAACGCGTGCCCCTGATGCTGCTGGAAGCCACTCTGAGGCCACTAAAGAGCCCCAAAGCAGCTGGCAAAAAGAGCAGTGAAAAACTGCTCCTTGCCAGCAGCTCATTTGAGATCGTGGTGGCAGTCAGCTTTGGAAGTGGGCGGTCCAGTCACCGCAGTCTCAAGCTGATTGCGGCTGCTTGAAGTCGCCTGTCTGCTTCATCCGTAAGTTTATGGAAGCTTATATAACATCATCTTTTTCTCAGTTAGTTTCAAAGATCTACAAGATCCCTTTGCATTCTGAAAACCAGTTGATGTTTTTATTGTTGGGGAACCTGAGTGAGAGGGTGCCATATCTTGCTTGTGGTTTGTCTTGGTGGACAGAATGCTTCACTAGATAAGTCTTTGGTATGACCCAGCAGGGCTCCCCTTATCTTTTTGACAGATTTATTCTATTCTATTATAATCATTTTATGTAACTGTCTAAAATTAGAGGGCAGGGATGTGCAGGGTGGGGGGGAGCCCGCTCTTCTGGATTAGGGAATTTTAGCATTCAGTAACAATCGTTAAAATAGCAATAGCAACAATATTGAGTGAAACATCCCTTCTTGTCTTTTTGCCCAGTTTTGAAACATATGTTTTGATTTTAAATATGAAAACTATTGAGGGAGGACCAAACACAAATACTATCTTATGCTCTCAGATACTAGAATGATGCCATTTTAACAGTCATTTTGTTTCAACAGTGTTCATACATCCCTCCATGTGAAAGAGAAAATGAGAAGAACTCTGACATTGTAACCCACTGGCAGGATTACTGGGAGGATGAAGTTGGTTCTCAGCCTTTTACATGCTACTTTAATCAACACCTCAGGTAAGCTGTCCTTGTACTGGTGAACATAAGTCTCTTTTGTTCTCTGTTCCGGATAGTGGTGGAAAGAAATCATAATTTGGTTCCCAGGAACTCATTTTGCTGGGATTTTGCAAAGTGACAGGGTTTCCCTGATGGGAATTAAATAAATAATTGAAGAATGGATTTGGTTTCTGTCCATCAGGTTGGCTCATAGCCTCAGGGCATAGGCTTTGCACTTTCAAAATTATATATATATTGAACAGAATTGGTACAAGTCTTGATCTAATTGGAAGGGTTAGGATAAGTTCTTCAGGAGCTGATGAAAGGTCCTCCTTTATTCATTATTGTTTCCTGAGCTTCTAGGCTAATCATCAGATTCAGGAGTCCCATAAGCCTAGAAACATTCATTAACCCAAAAAGTTGAACCCCAAATATTACTAGAGCTTTTGCTCTTTGTACCTCACAATAGCTGCTGAATCACTGTTCCATTGTTGCAAAAGTGTGGGGTAGTGGTTTGAGTGTCAGACTACAGCTCTGGAGGTCAGTGTTCGATTCCCAGTTCGGCTATGAAACCCACTGGGTGACCTTGGGTATCGCATGATCTCAGCCCTGGGGAAGGCAATGGCGAATGTCCTCTGAACAAATCTTGCCAAGAAGACCCCAGGATAACTTTGCTTTAGGATTGCCATAAGTTGGAAATGACATCAGGAAAGTTTCAGCATAGAGGCCATGTGAAATACAGTACATCAGAGCTTAAGCCAGGGGTAGGCAACCTTTCCCCTTTAAGGGCCGAGGGACTTCAGCTCCCAGAAGCCTCAGCCATGTTGGCCAATAGTCCCATGTTGGCCAATAGCTCCTGGGAGTCTGGAAGCTGAAGTCCCTTGGCCCTTAAAGGGGAAAGGTTGCCTACCCCTGGCTTAAGCAAATAGACTGTGGTTCCCCGAATCCCCAGCCAGGACAGCTAGTGCCCATGCAGGTTTTGGGATGGAGTTATAGTAGTAGTAGTAATAATAATAATAATAATAACAACAACCAAGTTCTGGACACAATATGTAGTTTCCCTGGTGATTTTTGTCTGCTTGTTTTCCCAAGAGGAAAAATGAATTCGGATGTGTGGCGCACACTACTGCCACCTTTCTCCCTTTTCACTTTAATTCTAGCTGGCAGTCCTGTGGGAACTTGTTATCCCCACCCTTCCCACCTAATGAAGTGTAAGGGACCCACACTGTCTTTTGTATGATGTCCCACCTCCAAAACTTCAAAGTATTAGTAGCATGGTTTGTGATTAAAACATAGGCCAAGCAATGTTGGAACAAGAAGAAAAGTTTATTTTGAAACAGCATGTAATAAATGTAACTTGCATCAGAACTTGCTACTATAGTCTTTCCTGGTTACAGAATTAATAACGTTTGTTTCTAATTCACTCACAGTACCTCACCCATCCTGGCTATCAATATCTATCTGGAGAGAACACCACAGCGACTCTCTTTTTTAGAGCTCTGTGAGTGTTCAGAGTCTCTCCTTTCTAG